ACACAGTACAAAGGCAGTTGGGAAGATAATTCAGAAACAATGTGATACTCAACTTGGGCTCAGTTTTCTTCTATGATATCAGGAAATTCGACTAGAGAATGACTCTGAAATTTTATATGGTAAAATAAGCATATAAAATAAATGGTATTTTCGTATTTAACTTTAAATTTATTTAGTGTTCACATTTTAAATGCTTGTCATACTGACAATAAGAATATTGGAACAACCCGGATTAAGATAAGCATTTAAAGTAAGTATTTTTGTACTTGATTTTAATTGTTCATTTGAAAACCCTCTTCACCCTAGCATAGTGAAAGTGGGGGAGGGAAGAAGGAAAAAAAACAAAACAAAACAAGAAAGAAAGAGAATAAACAAAAGGAATTTGAAAACCCAACTAATCCAAAGTAGTAAATATACACATTTCTTAACAAGAACCTCATACTTTCAGAGCAGCTTACAGTACTCTAAAGCACGGTGTACTCCAATTTGTGAAGGTATTTTGGTAGTGTAGTTCAGTAGCACAGTGTTGCTTAGCATGAGCTCTTGTGTTCGATTCCCAGCATGCCCAAAGGCAAAAAAAAGTGCACATATTTAATTAAATTACAATTTTTTTTAATGTAAGGATACTTTGGAACTATGAAACTAGAACCTGTCGACTTTCTAAACATCTCCCAGGGGCTAGTTTTATGGAACGTAACAGGAAAACTTATACAATATATAAGGTTCCTTCCAACTCTAAGTGGTTCGAAAGTCTACAGGTAAGAAAGTCTTGTGACACCATCCCATTCCAATTTGTATATTTTCAGAAAAAAAGGGGGCAAGGAGTTTATTTTAAAAAATGACCAAACATCTTCCCAAATTTGAAGGAATATACAGATACATGAGAAGCTCACAGACTCTGCAGGATAAAGCCAAACAGAATTACCCACGGTCTACTGTCATAAAACTGCTGAAAGAGAAAAAGCATCCTGGAAGCAGCAAGAGAAAATGACTAATCACATAAATAAATGGGATCCTCAATCAAGCTACCAGTAGATTTTTGGGCACAGACCTTGGAGTCAGTAAGAGATTATTGTATAGATAGTTTGATCAAGAGCAAAAAGGTCTATGTGGTTGAGGCACAGTGAATGAAGGAATAATAATACAATATTACGTTAATAGGCCACTATAAAGCTTTTATTAAATGTAACTTGAAGGGAGAGCCATTATGATTTTCTGGCAAATTAGGTAAGAGTGGCAAGGATGGTACTGAGGTGTAACTCACTGATAGTGTTTACCCAGTACCAAAAAAACAAACTAGGGGGCAGGGGAGATGGCTCAGTAGAATAAGCACTTCCCTGGCAAGCGCAAGGGCCTGAGTTCAATCCCCGATTCCACCAAAACAAAAACAAAAACAAAAAATAAAAAACCAAACCAAAGCTAATAACAAAACAAAAAAACAGTCAAATGAACAACAACAAAAAACAAGGATGATTCTAAAGGTTTTTAACCTGGAAAACATTAAAGATGAAACTAGCCAAATGCAGTGGTACAGAGCTGTAATCCCAGCACTCTGGGAAGCTGAAGAATAAAGAGTATAAATCGAGTCCAGCCAAAGTAATTTAGCAGGGCTGGTGAGATGGCTCAGTGGTCTAAAGCACCTCCTTAGAACAAACTAAAAGCACAGGGACCGTGGTTCAATCCCCCAGCACCACATGCCAGCCAGCACCACCCCCTGGTGGGCTGAGCTGGCCACACACACACACACACACACACACAAATTAAAAAAAAAAATTTAAAAAATAAAAACAAAACAAAACAAAGTAATTTAGCAATATAGCAAGACCCTGTCTCAATAATAAATCAAATAAACAAACAAATACCAGAAGAACTGGATTTAATCACTAGTAATAGGGCCAGGGATACAGTTTAGTGACACAAGTATCTGCCTGGCAAGCACAAGATCCTGTGTTTAATTCCTGGCACAAAAAAAAGGAAGAAATCATCTCTAGTACTAAATATATAATCACACAAAGAAGTGAATAAAGATGGAGAAGGTTCCAAAAAAACACATTTGTGAAGGAAGATTAGGTATCTGGTGTTAGATAATACTGGCTAGATGCATCTATCAGATAATCAAGTAGAAATGCAAACCATGGATTGAAGCGCCTGCAAGTAGGTGCAGGGGCGGGGGGTTCAACCCCCTGGCCTGCCATGCCGGCCCTGCCCCTGGGGTGTGCAGAGATAGCACTTGAGACTGGGCATGGTGGCCTGTGTCTGTAATCCCAGCTCTTGGGAGGCTGTTAACAGGCGGATCGTTACAAGTCCAATCTAGTAGTGAGACCCTGAATACCCTGTAGACCTTTCCCTAAAAATAAAAAAAAAAGAAATGCAACCCAGTGGTTGGATATGTAAATTTGAAGCTTAGGAAAGATATGTGGCATCTGATATAAATTAGCATATAGATATTATTTAAAGCCATGAAACGAAGTTAAGTTTCCCAAGGGAAAATAGATGGATAAGAAAGGTCAGAGACTCTAAGACCTACAATAACACATTAAGATTGGGAAAAGAGGAAAACACAGCAAACAAGACTCAGCAAGAATGATCAGGAAGGCAGATGGATCTCAGTGGAGTGCAGATCCAAGTACTACAACTTCTTTAACTTTGTGCAAAGTACATTTTCCCCCCAATACTTTGATTTCCTCTATCTTTACAATATTAACATCTTCTCACCACCTTGAAACACCTTGAAGCATTGGGACAGGCATGCTTGTACCACTGACAGTTCAAGCTGCCCAGCAGCAAGCCATAACAAATTATGGCCCCCACATGAACATGTCAGTTAGTATCCAACATAGTTACTTTGAAAGAGAGATGAAGCACACTGTGTTACAACTCTACATAAGCTCAATATATGGCAGCTGCTGTTATGATTCACAATGGCAAATATCCAAGCACCCTCCTTGACTGCAATGATTTGTTCCACCATGTTATAGGAAATGAACTTGGAGCTGGAATTTAAAAAGCAGATGACAAAGGCGTTAACAACTGGCAACCTTGTACACTAAGACTGAAATCTGCCACCTCAGCCTTAACCTAATGTAACTATTTCTGCATCTATAAATTACCTCTTAATCAAAATGTCTGTTTATCCTTGAACACACTATTTCCTGCCTCCATTCTGTGCTCAGGCTGCTGTTAGCATCACATATTCTTTCCTTCCATACCTGCTTATTATCCTTGCCCATTCTTTCAAAGTGTACCACAAAGGCTGCACGCACCTGGGTTCAAAGTCACTCAACAAGTTACCCTTAGTGTGATGTCCCCTTTCTAAACCTTGCCGCTTTAACTAATTCTCCTTAGTATGGGCAACTGAGTTAATTATAAATGTATTAACCGATGAGCCTAGTAGCACATGCCTGTAATCCCAGGACTTAGGAGGCTGAGGCAGGAGGCTCACTGTGAGTTTGAGGCTAGTCTGGGCAATATAGTAAGACCCTGTCTCCAAAACAAAACAAAACAAAACACCCTAGAAAAATAAAGCACCCACCCTACTTTCAGCATGATATTCAAGAATACACACATTT